ACATTTAGAGCCTTCTATCTCTCTATTTTTTTCTCTGCCTACTTTGTTGTCTCTTCTGAACGTGTTGAGATTAAACTCACTGCTTATGACATTTCAGCCAAAATTAAAAAATAATTTTTAAAAGTCTTAAGGGCTTTTAAATCGATGGCTTTAGAAATTACAATGGCTCCATGGTAATCCACAACCTAGATAACCAGATGCCTTTTAGAAGTGCAAATTTAGTTTTGCGTGAGTAAAAATCACTTTGGATGATGGAACACTTAATTGAAGGATTGATAATCTAAAAGAAAATAAATAGGTAAATATTTGTAAAAGTTAGGCTCTCAGATCCAACAGGTCAGAATCTTGAGCTCAGAATAATATTATAAGGTATCTCTGTCCAGCATAACAATTGCTTTATCTGCCACTTATTGGGCAGCCAAAGGAAAATAATAAAAATATAATAACTTTTTCTAAATACTTCCCTGTTTACATTGACTAATCGAGCAAACCAGACTGGCAAACAGAAAATAGACTTGTTACTAAAAATTAAAGGCCACTTGGAGATTCAGCCAGTCCTTGGTAAAGTGGAAACATTTGGATATTTAACCCCTAAACTTGTTTGAAACTGAAGAAAAGGTAACAAGTTTTACTTTAAAAATCAAACTCCTGCAAAAACTGTTGTACAAAATCTGGTCCAACAGCCTTCTTTAGATGACTTATCAGGGCAAAGAAAATTTAGATATGTGAACAGGTCCCATTTTGCCTAAAACATAATTTAGATCAATTTTTTCTTAACTGGTAAGTTTTTATTACTATCTAAGGACTAAAATGAAAGCTGTAAGGTCTTTATTTTTGTGTATGTATGTGTGTTTAGGTGTGTTTACACATATATACATGTATTACATTGTATGTTGTATCTACATAACAAACTCTGGTGAACTCAGCTGAAAATTGCTTTAAACATTTTTTAAAATTCCAGTTGACTTAAACTAAGTGAAAGCTCACACAAACTATAGAGTAATTAAACTGAATGTTTTTAGTACACATGACGTGTAAATTTTGATAAGTAAACTGGTTTTAAATTTGTTGATAAAATAGAAACATAAATATCTTCAAAATTGTCAGCATACATTCTTGCATGGGTTTACTGGTCAGACAGGATTATTTCCTTCTCTGTTAGATATTTAAGGTGTCAGGGTTTGACAAGATTAAAACTATAAACTCAGCCTCAAAGAGAAATGATCTACCTTTGTGTAGTTCGTTGATAGGTAGCACTAATTCAATATTGTTGACTTAATGAAAGCAACTGTATCTTCNACCTTCTGTCTTTTGTGGCAAGTTGTTTTCTGGTATAAACACAAATGTCTTTCTGCTTTGAGTGCTCTGGTTTCTACAGAATTTACAGTCTGTGAGGTATGTCTTTTCTGGTAAATTCATAGGCTTCTGTGCACTTGGTTTAGTATTTTGTTTGATCCACACATCTGAGTTAAAATTTTCGTGAACACTCTGATTTTGGTTCCATTTTGGTTTGGTTACACACGTCTGTAAATGATTTAACTCTTTTGCTGTTTCTGGAAATCTTTTAAGAGCAAAATTAAGCATTCTAAACGGTGGGTGGTGCAAGATGTCTGATTAGAAGCCACTAAAATCGGTGCCACCACCTAAGACACCAGCTCAAACCTCCTAACATTCTCTGAGAGGATTTATAAGACATTCTTTGCTCTCAGGACATTACTAAGAAACAAAACAGGATTTTCAAACATCAAACCATGGCAGGTTTTTGAGACTCCAGATGTCTACACGATTTTTCCTCACGCAGGTTTTTGAATCAGTGACCACCATGAGGATCATTCTAACTCCACAGTTTGTACTTTTCTTAGTACCAAATTAAGAGACAAATATAAAATAAACATTTAGAGCCTTCTATCTCTCTATTTTTTTCTCTGCCTACTTTGTTGTCTCTTCTGAACNACATTTAGAGCCTTCTATCTCTCTATTTTTTTCTCTGCCTACTTTGTTGTCTCTTCTGAACATGTTGAGATTAAACTCACTGCTTATGACATTTCAGCCAAAATTAAAAAATAATTTTTAAAACTCTTAAGGGCTTTTAAATCGATGGCTTTAGAAATTACAATGGCTCCATGGTAATCCACAACCTAGATAACCAGATGCCTTTTAGAAGTGCAAATTTAGTTTTGCGTGAGTAAAAATCACTTAGGATGATGGAACACTTAATTGAAGGATTGATAATCTAAAAGAAAATAATTAGGTAAATGTTTGTAAAAGTTAAGCTCTCAGATCCAACAGGTCAGAATCTTGAGCTCAGATTAATATTATAAGGTATCTCTGTCCAGCATAACAATTGCTTTATCTGCCACTTATTGGGCAGCCAAAGGAAAATAATAAAAATATAACAAATTTTTCTAAATACTTCCCTGTTTACGTTGACTAATCGAGCAAACCAGACTGGCAAACAGAAAATAGACTTGTTACTAAAAATTGAAGGCCACTTGGAGATTCAGCCAGTCCTTGGTAAAGTGTAAACATTTGAATATTTAACCCCTAAACTTGTTTGAAACTGAAGAAAAGGTAACAAGTTTTTCTTTAAAAATCAAACTGCTATAAAAACTGTTGTACAGGGCCAGCCCGGTGGTGCACTGGAGAGTGCGCTGCTTGGGAGCGCGGCAGCACTCCCACCAAGGGTTCAGATCCCATGTGGAGACCGGTTCCCGCTCACTGGCTGAGTGCGGTGCGGGCGCAACACCGAGGGTTGCGATCCCGTTGCCGGTCCCCAGTACGAGCGCGACACTGAGGGTTGCGATCCCATTACCGGTCAGTAAAAAAGACAAAAAGAAAAAAAAAACCTGTTGTACAAAATCTGGTCTAACACCCTTCTTTAGATGACTTATCAGGGCAAAGAAAATTTGGATATGTGAACAGGTCCCACTTTGCCTAAAACATAATTTAGATCAATTTTTTCTAAACTGCTAAGTTTGTATTACTATCTAAGGACTAAAATGAAAGCTGTAAGGTCTTTATTTTTGTGTACGTATATGTGTTTGGGTGTGTTTACACATATATACATGTATTACATTGTATGTTGTATCTACATGGCAAACTCTGGTGTACTCAGCCAAAAATTGTTTTAAATTTTTTTTTTAATTCCAGTTGACTTAAACGAAGTGAAAACTCACATAAACTATAGAGTAATTAAACTGAATGTTTTTAGTACACATGACGTGTAAATTTTGATAAGTAAACTGGTTTTAAATTTGTTGATAAAATAGAAACATAAATATCTTCAAAATTGTCAGCATACATTCTTGCATGGGTTTACTGGTCAGACAGGATTATTTCCTTCTCTGTTAGATATTTAAGGTGTCAGGGTTTGACAAGAAGATTAAAACTATAAACTCAGCCTCAAAGAGAAATGATCTACCTTTGTGTAGTTCGTTGATAGGTAGCACTAATTCAATATTGTTGACTTAATGAAAGCAACTGTATCTTCTGAGTCATTGCAAAAATATTCATGTATTTTACTTCAAGGTTCTTACTAGTTTCCATCTGATATTCACAGGCTATGAAAATGGTTAACAGGAAACTCACTTGAATGATGACCAGACAATAATATCTCAAATTCCAGAAGTAATGTAGGTGTAATTGTTAAAAATGAATGAATTAGGTAAATGTAAGTGGGATAAATGTTTATAAATAAACACTTTATGTAGGTTATGTTATGTTAAATTATGTGATAAATATTCATTAAATGCCTGAGTCATTTCTAAATAAGAATTTTTTAAAAACTAAAACTTAAATGGGATTAACATTAATATAAGTTTGGTTTTGGCTTCATAAACTTTATAGAAAGACTAAATACATTTGGGTCTATTAATACACATAAAAATTATGTTATGAGGAAACATTTTTAAGCTTATAAGATGGCTCTCATTTATAAAATACTGATATGGGACTAACAGTTCAAAATTGCTTGATTCCTAGATTGTCACTAAAAACTAAGGTTACTAAGGGCCGGCCCAGTGGCGCACTCGGTAGAGTGCGGCACTTGAGAGTGCGGCGGCGCTCCCACCAAGGGTTCGGATCCCATATAGAGACCGGTCCGCTCGCTGGTTGAGCGCAGTGCGGGCGCGACACCGAGGTTGCAATCCCTTTACCGGTCACGAAAAAAGACATAAAAGGAAAAAAAAAAAACTAAGGTTACTAAGAATTAAATGGTCTAATTTATATATATAATTCAAACTGTACTGAAAAAGTAAGAAGTGTTTTTGATGACATAAATTATAAAAAAAAGACATAAAATGTGCTATGTATTGAGAAAAAAAGAATAATTTTGTGTAAATTCAGAAGTTATTTAAGGCTGTTTCAAAAAAACGTGAATTTACAAGGGAAATAGAAACAAGATAGAAAGGAACCAGTAAGTAGGGGAGAGAGATATGAAGAAAGTCATGGATACAAGATATATTCTTGGTAGTGAAGATTAAAAAGAAAAGAAAAGAACTTTGTATAAAAATGGATCTGTTTAGTAAATTTTTGTCCTAATGGATCTGTGTAGTAAATTTTTGTCCTTAAATAAAATGAATGGTTATTTAAGAAAGAGGAAGTATAAGACAAAACAAAACGTCTAAGCATGTCATGGGAATGTCTGAGTAATGATAAGGGTTCATGACGGATGAATTGATGAGAGAATTTTGGGTGTGATTCAGTTGGCTATAATGAGAAGAAAATTATAATTCTTTGTAAAGATTGAGCTTTGATATTAAAAATATACTGATACAAAGCTAAATTTTGGTCCCCTACTTTAGAACATGTTTTCTTTTTTATCTTTTTTTTTTTTTTAGGGTTTAGAAATCTGAATTTTTTTTTTTTCTCATAGTGGCCAAATATGTGTAACATAAGGATTGCCATTTTAAGCATTTTTAGTGGTCAAATTGAAANTTGGCTTCATAAACTTTATAGAAAGACTAAATACATTTGGGTCTATTAATACACATAAAAAATATGTTATGGGGAAACATTTTTAAACTTGTAAGATGGTTCTCATTTATAAAATACTGATATGGGACTAACAGTTCAAAATTGCTTGATTCCTAGATTGTCACTAAAAACTAAGGTTACTAAGAATTAAATAGTCTAATTAATATATATAATTCAAACTGTACCGAAAAAGTAAGAAGTGATTTGATGACATACATTATAAAAAAGACATAAAATGTGCTATGTATTGAGAAAAAAAAAGAATAAATTTGTGTAAATTCAGAAGTTATTTAAGGCTGTTTAAAAAAAAAAGTGAATTTACAAGGGAAATAGAAACAAGATAGAAAGGAACCAGTAAGTAGGGGAGAGAGATATGAAGAAAGTCATGGATACAAGATATATTCTTGGTAGTGAAGATTAGAAAGAAAAGAAAAGAACTTTGCATAAAAATGGATCTGTGTAGTAAATTTTTGTCCTTAAATAAAATGAATGGTTATTTAAGAAAGAGGAAGTATAAGACAAAACAAAACGTCTAAGCATGTCATGGGAATGTCTGAGTAATGATAAGGGTTCATGACGGATGAATTGATGAGAGAATTTTGGGTGTGATTCAGTTGGCTATAATGAGAAGAAAATTATAATTCTTTGTAAAGATTGAGCTTTGATATTAAAAATATACTGATATAAAACTAAATTTTGGTCCCCTATTTTAGAACAACATGCTTTCTTTTTCATGTTTTTTTTTTAGGGTTTAGAAATCTGACTTCTTTTTTTTTTTTTTTTCTCATACCTGGCCAAATATGTGTAACATAAGGATTGCCATTTTAAGCATTTTTAGTGGTCAAATTGAAAGATGTTTTGATGCTGAATTCTAAAATCTGTTTCTTTAACATCATCTTCTGAACTGCAGACAGTTCCTATTCCTGCCACAGCTCTTCCTGAGGTTCTTTTAATGTTTCTATTTCAGGTTAGAAATGCGGACTTCTTCCTTGAGAGTGATCATTTTATGTCTTGAGGTAGAGTTTTCATCTGAAGCTTCTGAGATTCATATCTCCGAAATACAACTTGTGCTCCATCCTGCTGCGTGTCATTTGCAGGGCGTGTGCCATTGCCATCATCTCCCCCTGTCTCTCCCATTTACATGGTCTGGGGTGATAAATCTCTCTTTAACTTTTTTCTCAGCTCCTATTTTTTTTCTTTCTTTTCTTCCTCCGATTCTAGCTCTGCTGTTATCACCTGACACTGAAAGGCTTTGTCTTGAAAGCCTAGAAAAGCAATGTTTTCCTCGAGTGTAATTTGATTCTGAACTCCTGGCTTCTCTTGATCTGTGAATCGTTCCATGTAACTAAGAAATTTCCCATGTTCTTTCTAAGAGCCATGCATTCCCCTGCTCAAGGTACTGTTTTTTCTTTTTTCTGTTCCTCTGTTATATGGTGGCTCTTATAACCTTGGACACATTCTTCCTACACCTGACCCTAAATTCTAAAATCTCCACTTCCTAGCAGTGCTCATGGATTGCCTCTCCTAAAGTATACATGAGATGGAGGACCTTCATACCCTTTTTCTCTTTGATATTAAGGATCACATTATGGTTCTGGAGCTTGCTATCTTCTTAGCATGTTGTATCAGTTTGTTTGGGTGCCATCACAAAGTACCACAGACTGGGCGACTTAAAAAACAGAAATTCATCTTTTTACAGTTCTGGAGGCTTGAAGACTGAGATCAAGGTGTTGGTAGGGTTGGAGTCTTCTCAGACTTCTCTACCTAGCTTGTAGACCATTGTCTTCTCCCTGTGTCTTCACATGGTTGCCCCTGTGTGTGTGCCTCAGTTCTAATCTCCTCTTCTTGTAGGGACACCTGCCATATTAGATTGTGGGTCCTCCCCAATGACCTCATTTCACGTTACCTCTCCAAAGACCTGTCTCCAAATGCAGACACATTCTAAGGTCCTGCGGTTTAGGTCTTCAGTATATGAATTTTAGGGGCTCCCAATTTAGCCCATAATACACACTATCCTGATAAAATCTTTACTATCTGCCAAAACACACACCCTGATGCCTAATTCCCATGGCTAAATCACATCTGGTGTGTGGTGAAACTATCTGTGACATTCTAGAAATATAAGGACATTATTGCTTTCCCCAGGAGGTTGCTGCGTCATATCAGCCAATGTCTCACCCCCTTGGAGGGGGCTGCTCACTCCCCGGTAACTTCCCCTACTTCCCTCCTCCAGGTTTCCATCCTGCCCTGCGGCCTGACCCTCTGACCATGGCAGCCAGCACTTCCCCCTTGTCATACACAATGCAGCTAACCCTTGCATGTTTTAGAAACTGATTAGGTGGCACACCTCAACAAATGACTGATGAACCTGCTAACATGACCAAAACATTTTCCAGGATGGTGCTATGGTATACACACACAAACACACACACACACACACACACACACACACACACACACAGTACTTCAAAATTTCATGGAAAAACTAGTTTTATATTTTAATATAGTTTTTCAATGAAAAACAGAAGAGGGAGGGTGGTGGCAGGGCTGCGACCCTCGCTGTAGACACATAACTAGTTAAGGGCCCTGAATGTAAACGGAGGCAAGGCGGAGGGCGTCAATATGAAGCGGTAGACCATCTTCACATCCTCTTTGGTTATTATGTCCACCATGAAGGTTTTCAGCACCTGGGACAGAAGCAGAGTTTGCATCTGGCTTCATCAGGAGGCCCAGGGACAGGACACAGCCTCTTCCCACGTTCCCAGAGGCAGCAACCATGCAGCAGGGCCAGAGGCAGCCTGTGGGTCAAACCAGGCCCAACCCTGACCAGACCCACCCCACGGCACAGGCCCCCATGGCACCCTACCCAGACCTTCCCGGGCTGCTCACATGGTGCAGCAGGAGCAGCATCTCCACCTCTGCCAGGCGCCGCCCCAGGCACTGCCGCACGCCAAAGCCAAAGCCCAGGTGGTGGAAGCTCCTGCTGGGGACCCTGCTCTCTATCCAGCGCTGGGGGTTATAGTGTTCAGGCCTCGGGAACAAGGCGGGGTTGCGACCCAGTCCGTAGAGGAACACCTGGACCAATGTCTGCAGACAGGTGTGGATGGAGGGGTCACCTGCCCAGTCAGCCAATGTGGGCAGGCAGGGCTAGCTGGACAGGCTATGGGGACTCACTCACCCCTGCCGGGATGTGGGAGTTCTGCAGCACCAAGTCTGAGCTCACGAGTCGCTCCAGAAAAATACCCACAGGGTAGAGCCTGGGGGTGGAGACCAGCAGGGAGGGTACTCAGCTGACAGGTGTCCTCATGTCCCCTCCACAGAATTCCTTCCCAGGATTTCCCACCCCATCAGAGGTTCAGGGCAGTGGTGGGAGCCCAGATCATGAGGAAGAGCTCGCTTGCTCCTGCTGGGCTCAGTCAAACGTCCCCCCACCCTGAGAAGCCCCAGGACCAGGAAGACATGCCTGGGGATGGGCCGCAGGACACTGAAGTGGGATCCAAGGGGAAGAGGAGCCCTGTCCTTTAGCAGAAGAGGAGCAGGTGCAGAGGAAATGCAATCCCAGCAAGGCTGCTTCTTAGCCCCCTTTTCTGTCTGCGAGCCCCCAGAGAGCAGAGGGGCCAGGGCGGCTG